TTACATGGCATCCATGCACACTTTATATGTATACCGACATACACATATAATGTATACACACTCCCATAGTACGTTGATGTCGACCTCAAGCCCACGCATTAATGACGTAGAATCACCGCATGATGATGCCGGTGTATAGAGATGCCTTTCTTATTGTAAGCCTTATATTCTATACTCAATATATCGGGATATGGGGTGACACATCATGTAATACACGTGTGATCCCATAGTCGGGAATGACGAATCTCTAATAATCGTCGCATTTGTGTTCGTGCTGTGGTAGAATCTTGCATGCGAATACATCTCAGGAACGTGGCAACCCCACTGTGACTGGCAAGCCGAAGGACGTGAAGGACACTCAGTGCCCTTGGCTGCTGTAAGGTTCAATGGCTAAACACTATGTCATTATGCTGTTTCATTCAGGTTAGGCTTGCTGGGTACACCTGATTATCGTATATTCAACACTCAGGGGTTTTTCTCTTGCCATGTAGCTAGGGTCCAGCATACAAAGGGTTGGGCAGCTAGATCAACTGCTTTGACATCTCCAAACTCCAAGCCTTAGCACCATAAGTACGTGCTTCATTCATGGACGAACTCGTTGTACAAGGCACTGCGACCTGCTTCCAAGTGGACTTTACGCCTATAATCCTCTATGTAAGTTTGTTATGTTCCGTAATTCAGAAAGAGTTCAAGTCCGCAATTTGCGACCCGGAAACCGAAACTTCAAGTATCAAGCCTTCTGCGACGATCAACCGGCATATGTTTCGCCCATGAATATTACGCACTTCCTCGATCTAGAATTGACGTTGAGATAACCTGATCAATAAAGTTCCCGACACATCGATGGTTGTATTTCAGCCGGAGCCCTTCACTTGCAAACCGCACAATCACATCTGTTTTATTCGATGACTAATTGTTCTGGTCCCAGGCAATACACCCCGGACTTCGCCAAAGCGGTGCTCGATGCTTGGGCGGCTGCCAATTGCGAGGACGCTGGGACCTACACGTAGCAATCAGTGTTGGGCCGGGTTATATATCGCCGGTTGCGCTGGGATGTTGGTCTGCCGCTTTGTAGAAGTTTCTCGATTATGTTTGAGGAACCGGTAGGACAGAATCATGGACTTTATACGATTAAACTGATGCTGGGCTTTTCGTTAGGGTACGGTTTGCTGCAGCTTCGGTGTCCGTTGGCGAGTATTTCTGCATATATAGCAGGAGTTCGGGCTTCGGTGTCACGCGGATAGGACTGTGATGGGGTTTCCTCTATATATGAGCGCCATATAGTGTCCTGTATATCCTCTATATACGTACTCCAAAGCCTGAACCTTGAACCTACAGGTTGTAGTTTTCTTTCAACCTGAAGCAATATAATATAGACTTTAACATCCATCCGCACTTGGGGATGTTCTTCAACTTTGCCCTCCCAAATGATAGTTGGAGAGATAAGTTTGTTATAACTTGACCCATGCAATAGTTATTCCGCTTTATTGTGCTGTCAACTATATACCCCTACACCCCCAAGCCCGTACTAATGTACTGAGTACACGAATACACCCAGTCTGGAGCCCCGAAGCCGACACCTTGCTGACTGCTCGTCTGATAAAAGCCCCGCTGTATCTATCTGTTCGTCTTTGATATCTGACTATATATAGAGATATATATATATATATATGCAACTAACCATTTATCTCCCAAAGGCTCCATGTACCTTTGTAGTAGATACTTAAGCCCCAAAGTACTCCCTATATAGATACTTTAAGGCCTAAGTATCAATCTACTATAAGGGTACATGGAGCCTTAGGGTCTATTCATAAAAATAATCACAAAATAATGTCCCTGATATATATATATATATACATATGTATACATATACACTCATTTTATTAGAGCCCATCCATCCATCCAAATCTGGACGTCGCCTGGCCCTGGCTGCTGGCGATGACTCAGCCATCGTCGGCTCCACTCGATCGTTGCATCTTTGGAGGTTTACAATTCTACACTGGATTCCAGATTCTGCTTGATCAGGGTTTGTATCGTATCCCATAGATTATGGTAGAAGCCAGAAAGTTGGAACATTAGTATCCTCATGCCCTTAAGGTAAAGGAAACGGGCACTAATCCTCCTAAACTCATGTTCCAACTTTCTGGCTTCTACTGTAATCTAGCTAGCTAAACCTGAGTTTTGACGGAGACATCGCATTGAGGCTGTTTCGATGATCCTAGAGGCCTGAGAACAGTTCACAGAGAGGAACCCATTCAGAAAAAAAGAAAAACAGGAATCCTGTGCTGGATGCCACGAGCAATCGTGGCCACACGTGTTCGCTGCCGCTGACGACAACACGTACGACTTGAAGGCACAAATTACCTTGCTGTTTGCGGAGCCCATCGATTGGCAGGAGGACGTACTTAGGCGGCACTGAGAGAAACAAACCATCTCGGTACGTCTCCTGCCATTGCATGAGCTCAGGCATCGCTGCTACAGGTGGTGCACTTTATGCTGAATAGTGGAAAGCTAAGGCTGCCGAAGGTCTGGCCGAGCGATTTTGCCTAGGGCATCGCAAAGGTTTGTAGCCCAGCAACCTGGGGAAAGGCAATGCTGGGTTGTGCTTGCCGGGCGATGTCACGAAATGCAAATGTGGACTTCAAGAACAACAGCGTGCAACATACAAACATCATCAAATAGCATCTCATGATTCTGTGTGTGTGTTGGATCGACATCGCAAGGGCACAAAACCCTTTGTCGAAAACCTGTGAAAAAGCTGTCGAAAACAAGGGAAAATGCGTAGAATCTGTGAACTCAACATTTAGGACCCAAAACCTAAAAGTATGTTGCAAATAACATCCGAGTAACGTTTGATCACCATCATTATGCTGAAAACACACTTGTCGAAAACCTGTGAAAAAGCTGTCGAAAACAAGGGAAAATGCGTAGAATCTGTGAACTCAACACGTAGGACCCAAAACCTGAAAAGTATGTTGCAAATAACATCCGAGTAACGTTTGATCACCATCATTATGCTGAAAACACACTTGTCGAAAACATGTGAAAAACATGTGAAAAACAAGGGAAAATGCGTAGAATCTGTGAACTCAACACGTAGGACCCAAAACCCTGAAAATCGTGTTCGCGATGGCATCCGATGTGCTTCGGAGCTTGTGAGATTCGTTCAGCATTGGTTCGCGATGGATCAGTCATCCTTGTTTCTTGTGCTGCTTGTGTGGAAATCAAGCATTGCAGTCTGTAGTGACGGCTTTGAGATTCGCAATTCGATGATGGGGAAACCCAAACCTGCCGGCAAACCGCCGGCTGTGCTCCCGGCGGCTGCAGCTTCCGATGCTTGCTATGTATACACACACACACTATTGCTTGTGTGTTGGTATGTTCTCCTATATACATATCTATATGTATGCAAACAAATCCGAGGAAGTGACTTCCTCGATCGATGCTTTGCTGCTGGGTCAGATTGGGCTTTCTGCAGAGCAACAGGAGATGGTGCGGCAGAAGATGCCATTCGGCGTCACTACCATCCTCCCCATCCTCTCTCCTCTCCTCTCCTCTCCTCTCCTCTCCTCTCCTCTCCTCTCCTGTCCTCCTACTCTATAACAGTAATAATACATAAATAAATAAAAATATATATATATACACACACACACACTATAAGCACGGGGGTTGCTCTTTCCACGGCACACATAAAAATAGCACACGCGGGGGCGGGTGGGTAGGTGTTGGGCACAAAAACACACCGCAAAAAATTCGCGAGCGCTACCGCGGGGGGGGCCTACCCCCTTGGAATAATCGGAACACACGTGCCTGGGCACAGAAAACACACCGCAGAAAATTCGCGAGCGCTACCGCGGAGGGGGGCTACCCCCTTGGAATAATCGGAACACACGTGCCTGGGCACAAGAACACACCACAGAAAATTCGCGAGCGCTACCGCGGGGGGGGCCTACCCCCTTGGAATAATCGGAACACACGTGCCTGGGCACAAAAACACACCACAAAAAATTCGCGAGCGCTACCGCGGGGGGGGCCTACCCCCTTGGAATAATCGGAACACACGTGCCTGGGCACAAGAACACACAACAGAAAATTCGCGAGCGCTACCGCGGGGGGGGCCTACCCCCTTGGAATAATCGGAACACACGTGCCTGGGCACAGAAAACACACCGCAGAAAATTCGCGAGCGCTACCGCGGGGGGGGCCTACCCCCTTGGAATAGTCGGAACACACGTGCCTGGGCACAGAAAACACACCGCAGAAATTCGCGAGCGCTACCGCGGGGGGGGCCTACCCCCTTGTGATAATCGGAACACACGTGCCTGGGCACAGAAAACACACCGCAGAAAATTCGCGAGCGCTACCGCGGAGGGGGGCTACCCCCTTGGAATAATCGGAACACACGTGCCTGGGCACAAAACCGCACCACAGAAAATTCGCGAGCGCTACCGCGGGGGGGGGGGCTACCCCCTTGGAATCATCGGAACACACGAGCCTGGGCACAAAAAAACAACACCGCAGAAATTTCGCGAGCGCTACCGCGTTGCATGGAAAAGACCACTGACATATGTAGGAGGGGAAGCGGCGAGGCTGGTCACAACGCACACCACAAAAAATCGCAAGCGCTATCGCAGGGGACAGGCTGGGTGTGCCTGCGGGCACAAAACACAAACACAAAAGCGAGCGCAACCCGCAGCTCGGGGGGACTACATATTAAGCGACAGGTGGGTGCCGGAGGCTACTTATTGTCATACTGCCATGGGAAAGGGACAGCAGGTACATAAGAATGCAGCCGCGGATTGAGCTTCCCTTTGTGGTATTTGCCGGATCAATATTGACATACCTATGTAAACATATATATGTCATATATAATATATGTGTGTATATACATATATATATATATATATGTATAGAGAGATTATTTCTCAATGAATTAATTAAGAAGTTCTGGATAGCCTTAGATTATAGTATATAGTCTTGCTGATTATACAAGGTCAACGATGCTGCAGCCACGTGATGGTGCTGTTCCACAGCTGAACCTTCCAGCAGGTGGACCGCAGCAGCACCAGCTGGCAGCTCCTAGTGCAGTTCCCCCGCAGAACCTTCCGCCAAGTGGACCGCAGCAGCAGGTGGCAGCTCCCAGCAGTGCAGTTCCCCCGCAGAACCTTCCGCCAAGTGGACCGCAGCAGCAGGTGGCAGCTCCGCCTAGTGCAGTTCAGCAGAACCTTGCGCCGAGTGGACCGCAGCAGCAGGTGACAGCTCCTAGTGCAGTTCAGCAGAACCTTGCGCCGAGTGGACAGCAGCAGCAGGTGACAGCTCCGTGTGCAGTTCCGCCGCAGAACCTTCCGGCAAGTGGAGCGCAGCAGCAGCAGGTGGCAGTGGCAGCTCCTGGTGCAGTTCCGCCGCAGAACCTTCCGGCAAGTGGACCGCAGCAGCAGGTGACAACTCCTAGTGCAGTTCCGCAGAACCTTCTGGCGAGTGGCCCCCCGCAGCAGGTGGCAGCTCCTAGTGCAGTTCCGCCGCAGAACCTTCCGGCAAGTGGAGAGCAGCAGCAGCAGGTGGCAGCTCTTAGTGCAGTTCCGCAGCAGAACCTTCCGGCAAGTGGCCCCCCGCAGCAGGTGGCAGCTCCCAGTAGTGCAGTTCCGCCGCAGAACTTTCAGGCAAGTGGACCGCAACAGCAGGTGGCAGCTCCGCCCAGTCCAGCTCAGCAGAACCTTCCTCCAGCAAGTGGACCGCAGCACGTGGCTCCGGGTGCAGTTCCGCAGAACCTTCCAGGTGGACCGCAGCAGGTAGCAACTCCTTGTGCAGCTCCGCAGCAGAACCTTCCACCAGCAGCAGGTGGAATGCAGCAGATGGCGGCTCCTTGTGCAGCTCCCCAGCAGAACCTTCCGCCAGCAGCAGGTGGACCGCAGCAGGCGGCAGCTCCGTGCGCAGTTCCCCAGCAGAACCTTCCGCCACAGCAGGTGACAGCTCCAAGTGCAGTTCCGCAGCAGAACCTTCCGGCAAGTGGACCGCAGCAGGTGGCAGCTCCTTGTGCAGTTCCGCAGCAGAACCTTCTCCTGGCAAGTGTACCACAGCAGCAGGTGATGACAGCTCCAGGTGCAGTTCCGCAGCAGAACCTTCCAGCAGGTGCGCAGCAGGTGGCAGCTGCAAGTGCAGTTCCCTGGCAGCAGAACCTTCCGGCAAGTGGCCCCCCGCAGCAGACGGCAGCTCCAAGTGCAGTTCCCCCGCAGCAGAACCTTCCGGCAAGTGGCCCCCCTCAGCAGCAGGTGCCAGCTCCAAGTGCAGTGCCCCCGCAGAACCTTCCGGCAAGTGGCCCCCCGCAGCAGGTGGCAGCTCCTAGTGCAGATCCGCCGCAGAACTTTCCGGCAAGTGGACCGCAGCAGCAGGTGGCAGCTCCGCCTAGTGCAGTTCAGCAGAACCTTCCGCCAGCAAGTGGACCGCAAGAGGTGACAGCTCCGTGTGCAGTTCCGCAGAACCTTCCGCCAGCAAGGACGCTCCTGCAGCAGCCTGGAACTCCCTCCATTTTGGAGATGGTGCAAGAGCTTGAAACGCAGATGGATCAGGAGGAGCCAATCAGTGTGAATGACACGCCCGAACCCCCGCCCCGGCTGAATCGCAGCGCTGTGTCAACACTGGCTTCGGCTGCTTCCTTTGATGACACATCAAAGGTGGCTCGAGTCTCCCAGGCAGGTTCCGTTGTTAATGTTGTCTGGAATATTCGCAAAACCTGAGTCCGTGGCCGGTCTATGTATACACCCTAAACCCTAAACCCTAACCCTTAAACCCTAGACCACACACGACGTGTAGGATGTATCACCGTCGTATGGGACACATAATATAATGCATGCAGTGTGACATTTTCTTTCTGTGTGTGTTTTCTGGTGCCGACCGAAATGCGATCTGTCTCGCAGGGCTTGGTTGCACCGGACACGTCAGCAGCACTGCTGGTGAAGGCACCGTCGCCGTCGCCGACTCCCGTGACGGCGAAAGCGAAAAGTGCGGCAAGGACGAAGCCGAAGGCTGCTGCTGTGAAGGACATTCACCACGTAGAGCAGTGATGGTTCGTGATATGTCAAGCCTTATGCAAAGCAGCTAATTGTGATTTTCTGCGATCTATAATAATTTGGCATGATTTTTCTTTGTATTTCTCATTCAACAGGATGAGTATGCGCTGCCGGAGCTGACCTTGCAGGAGAAGGCGATGTATGGCAACTTCTGGTCGCGGTACCGCTCGAGCAGCTCGCTGTCGTTGACCAGTGATGCGGATTCCGTCGACTCCGACATCAGCCAACCTGTGCCGAAGGGGCCGCCGGCAGTACCCCAGCCGATGCCGTTGCCGACTGTGCCGCTTCAGCAGCAGACGACAGCAGCTGCAGCAAAGCCGACGAGTGATGCCATGACGACGATGCTGGCGACGGTTCTCAGCACGGCGGTGAGCCATGGTGTTGATGCAGCGGGGCTTGCGGCCATTCAGCAGACCATGGCCAGCATTGTGGCTGCTGCAAAAGCCCCTGATGCTGGAGTCGAGGCCGTTGACAAGACGAAGATCATCGACTCGCAGCCGGCTTTGCCGCCAAGCCCTTTTTCGACGCCTTTGCCGGCCAGCACAGCAGCAAGCCCTTCGACGCCTTTGCCGCCGGCAAGCACAGCAAGCCCTTCGACGCCTTTGCCGCCGCCGAGCACTGCGAGCCCTTCGACGCCTTTGCCGCCACAGACCGCTGTGACGAAAGCCCCGCCGACAGGACCTGCTCCTTCGACGCCTTTGCCACCGCAGACCGCTGTGACGAAAGCCCCGCCGACGGGACCTGTGGTCAACTCAAGCACCCACAGGACTGAGTACCGCTCGTTCCAACGCTTTTGCGAGAACTCACCGGGAGCAGTGGAGTTGAAGAAGGTGTGGGTGCAGGGCGGACCGCGCTTGGCAATGTTCCAGAAGTTTGTTCTGACAGGCTGTGGCCAGGCTTATATATTATTGTATATGCACTAACTATATGACGACGGGTATCGCCGTAGCCTCGTGTACTCTGTAGCTGAGATTATTAATGTACACGTTGTGTGTCTGAGAGTGTAAAGATGTATTCATCGATCCCGTCATCCCAAAGGTAACCCTGCGGCTTTGGAATGTGCCCTCCAGTTCCGCCGGCAGAGCGAGGAGGAGCGCAAAGACGAAGGTGGATCCGCATATTCCTATATTGAAGTTTTCTCATATTATAGCATATACGAAATACAGAAGATAATGTATATCCATATGTATGTATATATATATATATATTATACGTATAGCCGTGCTATATTTCTGGGAGTTTGTCGAATATGTGTGTCGTTTTTTTGGAAGGTTTCTTAGTTGGTCTATGTGATGTGGTCATGCACAGGTGAATATTATTGCTGGCGTGATATACTCGCCTTTCACGAGGGCAACGAACAGAAGGCCTTATCCTTCATTGCAAGACGCAGAGCAGAGCCCAAAGGGACCGGTTGCGTGAAGATCATGTCTTGCAGTTCAGTTAGGGTACCGTGTGCTCCATAATAGTTAATGAAAACAGAAAGTGTCAGGACCAGTTGCGATCGGAATGATCCTGATATGGAGACATTTCTATATTACGGCCGCCAGCGACGGACCCTGACGGTTCGTACGATCGCGTCTTGGCACTTTTTCTACTGTCTCATGTCCGGATCCGGATGCTGTTGTATAGTAGTTCATGTCACGGTGCTGTTGGAAACAATGAGGACGAAATCGCAATCAGCATGGGCGTCTGCCCGAACTTCGCCACGTCCGTGGCGGCACAGCTGGACTCCATGAACGGCGCCCTGCCAGTTGCTGATGGGGCTACTTCTTCGGTGAACCCGCCAGTGCCGGCCCCCGGCAAGGCGGCTCCAAAGGGAAAAGGCAGTGCGCCTGCGCCACCCGGCACGACGACGGAAGACCCCCAGCCGCCGCCCAAGAAGGCGAAAGTTCCGAAGCCGGAGGCACACGCGTCGTGTGTACGTGATAGTCCCATGCATGCATGCACATATCCCAGCTCGATAGATAGCCTGCCTGGGCAGGGATCCGACATGGAGTTGATCTGCAGTGGAGAGAACGTTGGACTTTTCGTGAAGTCGTGGGTGGCCGCGGCGAACACGGCCCAGGGGCAAGCCGTGAAAACGTGTGCAGAGTGCCTAGGCAGGCGAACACCATGTTTCAGCGGGAAAGCCTTCTCGGTGCAAAGTTGCATCTGCTCCGAAATCTGAGGTTGGAGGTCCTCGAGAGCCAGGAGGCTTTGATGGGGAAGATTAAGGACTGTGCCGAAGGCATCGGGGCTTGTCGCAAGAAGCTCAAGCTCATGGGGACAGAGCCAGTGGCCGCCGATGTGCAATCGGCCCTGCTGGAGGCGACTTGGGCAGATGTTTCGGTTACGATGTGCAGTGTATGTGTGTGTGTGTGTGTGTGCAGACCTTGACCCTTGCCTCTCGGCACACTGCATGCGACACCTCCTAGGCTACCGTGTTTGTGGAGGGTTTCAAGAAGCATCTTCGAGTGGCGAATGGCCTGCTTCTTGCTTCAGATGTATATATATAGGATGTTTTTTTGTTGGCATGTGCAGCTTATATTGTGTGTGACAGTCGATCCATGTGAAGCTTGATGTTATTCGTAAAATAGATCACGATTCTTGTTCGGCTCAGGATCGCTTCGGAGCGACGTCCCGCGAATAAGACGGCCAAGAAAGCCAAGTCGGCTGCAAAGGCTGCAGCACAGGCTTAGGTCCGGATGCAAACCGAGGCGCATATATGGTAGCTTCTGCATATGGTTGTAGCCGGTCTAGGTATGATAGGTGGGTGGGTGGGTAGCGGTTGAGTAGGAAACATAGCACAATACGTCGAATCCTAAACAGCTAGAACCCTGTAAATCGTCTTATAACGAACCGTAGGTCCTAGCTGAGCCCTGTCTGTATGTATGTGTTTTCATGGTTTCTCGTTTTCGGAGTGGCATATACATCTATATATGTATGTAGTGTTTAGCATAGTGTGGTTTGGTTGCATCAATCATTCTAATTGGGACGTGTTGGTGTTCGGGGTTCATACCGCCTGCTGATACCATCAAGGTTCCCGAATTAACCGCTATTTTGCATCCGACCCATGGAAGCCTCCTTTTCCTTTCCTTCGATCTGCTGATGGCTGGAGGGTTGCTGTGCTCAGCACTCTGCCTCTGAAAAAACCAGTGTGCTCTGAGTGTGAGCGGGGATCGGCCAGCAGTTCATCTTTTGAGAACAGCATGCGCGGCACTCTATGTTGTGTGACTAGCTGCCATCGCAGATATACTCTTGCTACCTTGTTCCGGAAGTGTTTGTAGATCCTAAACCCAAAGCTCCAAAATCCTGCGTCCTAAGTCCGAAACACCGAAACCCTGAAGTTGGCGTTCTGCATCAATGATTAGTGTGCTGTGCATCTTACAGGAGGCCGCCGCATGCTGGAGTGCCTGGGGTTTGCAGTGTACTGCAGTCCTGCCTTGAGTCACTTCCGGCCGGCAGCATCAAGTGCGATCATCCCCCAAAAGCATTGATGCGGTTTGTGTAGTCGACTTGTCATGCATGGCTTGAAGCCTGAAGCGCGTGTCCTTGAGTCTGGCATCAGTCGTCCATGAGCATATGTGTGCACGGCCATGCTTCTTATGTTCGAGGTGCCAACCCAGCCCCATGTAGAGTTTTTGTTGAGTCATGCGATGACGTTCTCTTTCATTCAACCTCTGGATCATCGGTCACCTTGTAATACTACTTGTATGATTCACTCCCCAATGCGACCATGCACAATACCACCATGCACCATGCAAGACCACCCTATGCACTTTGGTATGCAACATGCCACTATGTATCACCATGCACCACCACACCCTACACGAGCCCACCCATGCAGCCCACCCTACACGTCATCATGGCTTTCCTTTTCGTGCTGTCTGACCCCAGCCTGGGCTCCTATGCCGCTGCTGAAGAGACTGGTTCATTTGAAAAAGAGCCTGGACAGAAATCAGGCGACTGCTGGCAGTGATGGTTCTGTTGCCAGAAGACCATCTTTTGCCGAGTTTTCATTGCGGAAAAGCGCGTTGAGCAGAACACTCGGTTTTCACGTGGGCCGGGGAGCCAGCTCCGGACTTCTTCAAGAAGTGGCGTCTGCGGCCGTCGCAGAAGCAGGGGATGCAAATGTGACCCCCAGTGCCTTGTTGCACAATGGTTATAATACCTTATATCATTGCATGCCTTGGCAAATCATGCACGCAGATGCCCGGTTCCAAGGTACCAGGTGGGCTGCGAGTTTGGGCGCATCAGGACGTTGTGCGCAACACATCGAGGAGCAACTGAGCAAGGCTGTATCTTCCTCGAAGAGCGATGTCGCCGGTCTGAATTATATTAGATGTCTAAATATAAATAATATATGTATGCCGTCTAAAGAACATGTCGGAATGTATGCAAGGATATCCGAGGCTCCACTAGTATGCCCTTTGAGTTCGGTGTCCCTCATGATGAAAGATATGCGTGCTGAAGCGCGACGAGAACAAGAAGTGCGACGACAAATCAATTGTCGCTTGAGGAGGGCTGGTTTGCCGAGGAGGCGAAACCCCAAGAAGAAGAGCAAGAGGGCCCAGTCGACTGAGAATAAGTGCATGCAAACGCTGCCGGTGCTGTTGCCTCATATTCTCTTTAAGAGCATGGTTTGCTCTGGCTTGATCGCAGAGCTGATGCTTGCTGGCATTGCATGCGTGCATATGCATAGATTGGAATAGATGCTCTCGCATGTTGGTGATGTCGTGATGTTTTGAATTCTCCATCCACACTGCGCAATCAATAAGGGCGGGCACTGTCGACTGGCTGGACTGGTGGCAGAAGGCCAAGAGCGAGCCATGGGGGATGCGTTTTTCTCGCAGCATGCAAGTGTGTGTGGACTGTGTCTTGTTTGTTTTCTAGAGTGCAGTACGTGGAATGTTTCATATGTCGATCCGGCAACATATACAAGGAATCATCCGGTGCAGTCCTGGCCGGAGGAGGCCAGGCAAAAAGCGGTGGCCGTGTCGATTCACGGCGATGAGGGTACTGGGAAGAGGAGCAAAAGCATCTTGATCCTGTCGCTTTCGCCCTTGGCCATCCACCGGGGCGACTCGATGCTGCAGAAGTTCCCGTTCTGTGTGCCCTGGCCGGTGTTTTAGATTCCTCTAATGCATCTATGTGAATTCCAGACGTCGCTTATGTATGCGTGCAGCGGATGTGCACATGCACACAGTGTGTGTGAATCATGGCTGAGGTTGTGCGATCAGACAGATTTGTCTACGACAACGGCCAGAATATCACGCTTCAGGCGCTACAGCGCTACTACGCCGATTCCTTTCGGATTTGTGGCGACCCCGCCAGCGAAGGCCAACACGGATGGACCATGCACCCTGTCATATCGAAGGGAGATTGGAAGCACAAAAGGGAATGGTTGGAACAATGTAGAAGCTACGGGAACCTTGCTAGCAATGCTCCTCGTGAGCAGAACGCCGGCAGAATCTGCCCGAGATGCTTGTGCGATGGCAGCACACCTGGAAAGCATTGGGCTGACATGCGTGAGGGCTTCGATAACCAGGCAGACTTGGATGAAGCTTCGAATGATAGTAGCTAGGCGGCATGGTGCTCTAATGCAAGTGTGGTGTGGAGCTGGCTTGAGTTGTGTCGCGGGTGTCACTTATTGCACGCGCTGCTTCGTTTGTCTTAGGCGTTGGTGCAAACATCGCGTCACCAGGCTTGACTTATGTTTGGAAACTTTTAACTTTGCGTTCAGGCTCTAGACAATTACCAAGTGCGTGTCCGCCGTGCATGTTGCGCCGCAAAGTGTCGTATTCGAGGATGTGGAGAATTCCTGGCTACCACCACTCCTGTGAGTATCCAGATTTGCTCCATTGCCTGTATCTGAGAACTGAGAGGGATGCCACTGCGTCTCATGTTATGGAGCTGGCGAAGTTTTCTCCGCAGTTTCAGGCTTACGAAACGTGGGATGAAAGGTTGCATCACCTGCATGTGGACTTTCAGATGTGGTGCACGGAGCACCATATCCGACCCAGCATTCTTGATGGACTGAGTCACCCAGCTGCTCGTATTTTCGGCTGCTGGAACCACTCCGTACTGACAATTCGTGCTGCATCCGCAAAATATATCTGAGGTTTGGTGAAGCTGGGAATCGATGCGGTCACATTGGAGTACCCGAAGGGGCCGGGAAAAGGATATGCAAACCGTGTCTTGTTGCTTGGCACACCAATAATTCAGCAGAGAGGGAGAGTATAGGGAGAGCGCAAAGGGAGCAAAGCACAAACATTGCATGTGCCTATATAAGGATGGCGTACTTAGCCGAACGGCTGTCTGCCTCTTGCCTTGCGATATTCTCTGCTTGACGATCTGCGGTCCACGCTTGTATTCAGCTGTGGTTTGTATAGGATTTGGGCCTAAGGAGGTTTGCCAAACGATTCCCGAGCTTCGATTGGCGGCAGTGAATGCCTGGTCGATCACAGCATTCTCGAATTTGCTGGACGCCTGCTCAATCTGGCTGTCGGATGAGCAGGCAATGCTGGCGCAGCAGAACCGTTGCTGCACCGGTGTTGCGTGTGTGTGGAGCCCTGTTGTGCAAAAACGAATTTTGTAGAAGTCTGTGATGATCCAAGGCTCGGCAGATGGTATTGCCACTCCTACCTGGCCCTGGCATCGCGATATCTCGAGATGCTGGAGCCACGGCCTCCCGTCTAAATATGTGATTACATGCAAGCATGGACTGTGCTAACGATCAAGAATATGAGCAGAACCGCACTCAGGTATAAGATCAGGCCAAAGTTTCATCAATATCATTGCGAATGCGTTTGCAGATTGACATACAGCCGATTGAATCCCCGGTACGCCGGGTGCAATCTCGAGGAGGACTTTGTCGGCAAAGTCATGAAATGTGCCCGTGGGGCCGTGCACGCCGCTACGCTGTCGCTCCGAGTGCTGCAAAGGTGGCTCTTGCAGTATAACTGCTGGCTGGCGGGGCGGTAAAACAAGAAGCGGTTCAGTTCGATTCGTTGGGCAACTTTTGCGATTTCACATAGCTTGATATATTGCTCAGGCCCAACTATCATTTCGGGCAACATCTGAGTGAGATTTGCCACAGCTATAGGCCCAAATATCATTTCGCAGGGGCGCCCTATATATAGCTGCGTGAGTGCATGTGCAACAATTTTGCATAGCTTGATCTACGCGATGCCGCCCAAATAACATTTCGGGCAACATCTGTTGGCGCATTGGCTTGCCACTCATGCATGAGCGT